CACTTATGTGTCTTTTAATTTAGGATTTGAGGCTTATAGATAGAATGGCATCAATGTAATTACATAAAAAGAAAGCAAAGCCACGGCTCTAGTTACCTTTCTTTGTCTTGTAGGGTCCTCCATTGGGATGTATATCTTGTAACGGGATGGATATTACCTTGGCTAGGCCAGCATTCATCATATATTGATAGAGACGTTTGAAAGTTCTCTCACAAAGACCCTAATGCAAAGAGAAGCGGCAAAAGTCACTGTAGCCCAAAAGTCTCACCTCTAGGTGATGAGTATCAAGGACATTCATACTGCCTGTTCTCAAAACACAGTATTTTGGGGTAGGATATCAAAGAAGGATCTTAAAAGCCTGCTAGTGCAGACACCAGGCAGAGTGTGAGATGCTTCTGGATTGTGTTCTATCCCTCCAACTCTACCATCCAAACAAGCAGCAGCAACCAGCAGCAGCATTGTGCAAGTAAGAACTGCATGACGATATCCGTTAACAATACTTTTCTGAAACTGTGGATCGAATAGAACTCCTTCCTTATCACAAGCAGCAACAGTAACTTGATTTAGTAGGTTAAGACCCTTCTTTTGATACCCTACCACCAAAATATTGTGCAACTTTAAAAAACAGGCAGTATGAATGACTGCCTTTGATACTAATCATCTAGATTCTATGTGAGAATTTGGAAGAGAATAATGAATCTCACCAATTCTTCCCTCAAGTTTCCTAATGTTTCCATCTGGTTTGAACGAGCACTTAGCATACTTGAGAGCTTCTCCATCAGAATATCATATTTGCTCCTCCTAATCAAGAAAAGACAATTATTTTACATGTAAGCATGCACATAAATTTATAAACTAGTTGTACCTTTACAAAATGTCAGTCACTAGAGAAAGTATTCTGAAGTGTTCTCTGATTGTTTGAGGAATTACAGTTTTCCTTCTGTGAATAGCATGTGAGAGAATTTGTCAGCAAGAAGAGACCCCAACTGAAGGAACAGTGACTAAGCCCAGGCTCTTACTTCATCAGCAATCCACAGAAACACAAGTTCTAATCATAAACAAGAGTGATTTTTTTTTTTTCCTATTAGAAATGTGTTTTAAGTGAGAACACTCAAAATTAACAGACTGATTAGTGCTACAATAAGAAGAGTTAGGCTTATGTAGGCAGCTGACAGGTACTAGAATACCCTATTGTTTACAGCGCCAAGACAAGTAAGCTTTAACTGTCCAGCATCTGGAAGAGGAGTTAATAAAGAAATTGAGAAGGGTCAATTCCAGGAAACTTTGATGGTTCTGTGACAGCAGAGCAAACTTTCATCATAGTAAAAGGTCACGGTCTACCCAGGAGATCTTTAAAACATCTGAGTGTCACATACCTATCAACATGAAAGCGAGTCAGAAGTAGAAGAATTGAGTGTTGCTGTGCTCCACTTGGTAGTCTTATGACATGGGACTGCATTGTTATGAGACCATTTCTGTCCAGTACTCTTCGGTGATAATGAATTTTTCCAGCATCCACTCTGAAGAAAAGATGGCAAGATATCTACAGGCATAGAAACTTCTGCAAATAAATTCTAATTATCCAGCATCCCAAAACACTTCACCTAAATTACCTATGGTCTTAGCAACATATGTTATCTTAATTTTCAAAGTGACAATCTCAAACTTAGGAAGTGCCACAATTAAGAACCTGTGAAATTAATTTTCATAGTTAATCCAATTAAAGAGAGAGGAATACCTCTGATTTTAACCCACAGTCTCTATGCACAATCACAGTGTCATGACATGGTTTGATGAAACAGCTGAACCAATATTGCATCCCCATGCCCTCTTTCTCACTCCTGGCTACACTACAATCACTGCCCCCCTTGTAATACCTTTGGTATTATCTCACTCCTTGGTGGGCTGACTCAGGCCACTGAACTGACAGAAAAGTATCCACAAAAGATTTCCTCTCCACACCCATCATCTTAGTTACCTAAAAGAGCTTCCTAAGTGGCAAGAACAATGCCACTGTGGTTTGCAAGCTACATACGCTTCATCTCCTAGAAGCAGTGAACCCTTAACAGCAATGCTAATATTCTCCAGCACAGCAATACAAAAACAGAAGTTCCCTAGGAGGCTGGGTAACGCTCCTCCATCAACAAAAGTATGTGGTCTAGTTTGGGAGCTGGTAACTCAGGCCATATAGAGGAAGATGTCACACAGGGCAAATGCTGGGGACAAAAGGTGGGCATCCAAGAACCTCTTCAGAAGTTGGGCAGGATAAGATGTTTACACAGCAGTTTAGAAAAGGAAATGAAAAGCATCGTTCCAGCCCAAATTTGAAGAAAAAGTGATTTAGAGAAAGCAAGAACTTTCACAAATTAGAAACTTGTACATTGACCCAATAGACAAGCTCTGGTTCCATGAGAAAATATCAGGAAGCATAACAAACTCAAGGAAGAGACCAGTATACTTCTAGCAATACAGGCTCCAAGAACCAAGTGCTCCTGGTAGTAAGGATGAGACGCTACCAATAGAGATATGAGTTTAAATCAAAACACAGGAATTCTTAAGTGGACAGATGTTTACAAATAACCAGTGGAAACTTAGTAGCTTTGATTTAATTCATATAGCAAGATATAAACTTACTTGAAAGCCCCACTGTGAAGGTCCCTCTGAAGCTCTCCTTGCCACCTAGCACGACCCAAACGCTCCAGTATACAGTAGGAGAAGTCAGGGAGTTTTAAGTCAGGGTCCCCCTCCCAGCCTATTAAAGCTCTGTAACGCTGGTCTTGAGAAGCAACAATGACTAGTTTCTCGCCCCATCTAAGAAACAGAAAGGAAAATAATAAATTATTATTAGTTCCATAAAAACAGAGAGATCCATCACTTTCCCCCCCACAAACACCATTCTTGATATAATCTGCACAAACTGAGCAAAGACTGAATTTTAAAACTTAAGTTAAAAATGCCAGATATAAGGATTTCACTCACTTTTCAACAGCTTCTGTGTAAGTATAACAAGGCTGCAAATCCTTCCTCCTTATTTGATCAGTGATATCTACTCTCTCTTTAAAATACTGGCAGGAACCTTGTATGCCATCTTTATTATCCAAAATCATGTGGACAGGATAAATATCATCTGAAGGGACTGGATCTCTTTTGGTTTCCAGTATTCCTGTTTCAAGGTCTATTTCTTCATACCTGAAACAAAAGCAGAGAGCCAACATTTAACCAAGCAAGGAGAATTTGGAACTGAAATATAAAATTGTCACAAACAATGCTGGTACCTCTTTGAAATATCTTGGAAAAACAAAGCTCTTTCAAAACCTCAAAAATGGAAAACCACAAAGAGCAGAGTTGCACTCCTCGAGTATGACCAAACCTTATCAGCACGCAGAGTGTGTGAGGCAGGAGGAAGGGAACAGATTATTTGATCCTCATAAATTCAAGGATATTGAAGTGGTGGGAATAAAAGAAATATATATAATAGTTTACAAAAAAGGAAAACAACAGGTACATCCACCCTGATGAACATATAAATTCTGCTTGTACCTAAGTGGTAAACAGTCATTAGATCGGCAATCTAGCCAGGACTCCCGTGCAGGTCTGCTCCATAGCAGGCTTCACAGCCTCGCTCCGCCTCGCCTGCCGTCAACCGGCTACTTCAGCAAGGCCTGAACGGCTCCCGAGAAGGAGCAGAGCGGCGGGGCAGCCACCGGGGCGGCTGGGGACCCAGGCCCGAGCTATACCCCGCAGAGGAGCACGCCCTCCCGCAGCGCCCCGCGGGGTACCGCGCCCGGCGGGTAGGGGAAGGCGCGGCGGCCTGCGGGAGGGGGCG